CACACATATCCTTACCCACACCCTCACCTACAGCCTCACTTACACCCTCATCCACACCCTCGATATTCCTAACTTTCGACATTTTTCTTTTTCGACCAAAGTTGGGATTACCAAATTTTAAACTCACAGTAAAATGTGTTTTATAAAATATATATTAGATTTTAATTTGAATTCTAATTTAGTAATACTAGTTAAATCGATTAAACTTGCAATTTTATCAGCACAATCTTTTTGATAAACTTCAGCAGGATTACAAAGACAAAAATCTAATATTTTTTTCACAAATATTAATATTGATGAATCAATTTCAATCGTAAGATAATTAATATTTTTGAATAGTTGACCATATGATGGAATATTGAGAATATTTGTATTCACTGGAATATCAATATGTAAATCTTTATAAATTGAATAGAATAAATCATGTTCATTATCTGCCATTGATGTCGAGTATATATTTAATGTACCAAGAACCATTCGCATTTGACTGAAAACATGATGTCGAGCTTTTTTCGAACGTCGAAATCCACGTAAATTAATATATTTTTCTAAACAATAAATCATAGTTTATGAAAAAGTCTTAATTTATCGTTTTTACTTTTATTGTAAAAAGTACATTGTGATTGATGAACTGCAAGATACCAATCGTCATATTTTGTAGTAAAATAATTAAATGAATTGACAACAATATTCATATCTAACCCGAAATTTGAATATTGAATATGAAGAAAAATATCGAATATATCTAATTGAGATAGGCGATTTTTTGATAATAACTCCCATTCATCACCTCGAAATAGATTTCTATGTAAATATGAAATTGATGATGATAAAGAAATGACTGTAAAAATGAATCGACGAAGATTAGGCATACAACCCAGAATAAAACTTAATTGGTTAAAACTGCAAAATGTCTTAACACATAGTTCAAATGATTTCAATAAAGATAATATTGGTGGATTAATTCCATAGATAGCCGGAAGTGTTGGCATTCTAATAATAAAAGAATAAATTTGTCTTATCAGATATAGAATTAGGAATCAATTGCTACAGGGACTTACATTATTTGTTGATTATTTTGATTTGATATAAAAATCGATAAGTTTCGTAATGCACGATATATACGTAGCACAGGAAGAAAACTATAGACCGAACAAATTGTTGTGACACCATGGAACATCATACGAAGTGTTGTTAATGTTGAATTAATTGAATTATTTTCCAATAGTTTTGGATAAGTATAGGGAAATAACAAACTAACCGAACGAAGTTTTAAAGATTTACATTTTAAAGCAATTGTACTTAATTGTTCTTTGATATTATCGGGTAATGGTTCATTTTTCGGTTGAAATATTTCAAATAATACAAGTTTATTGAAATTTTTTAGTTTTTCCATAATATCATAAAGACCCCATGGTAAATAATTTAAATGAAATATACATGATCGAAGATTTTCAAATGTATGTTTATTGAAAAAGAAATAAATTACTCCTCCAAGATAATCACACAGTTGATCATGAAATGATATAGAAATAACTTGATGAGCACGATGAATAAGATGAGAAGAAAGAAATTCAATTTGATAATCAAAATGATACTCATTAACAATAAGATGAAGTTGTGGTAAAGATAATAGGAATGTAAAACGATTGTTGAGTGAAGCAAATGCCATAAATAGATCCAAACAATGTAAATATTCAAAAACTTCTAAGAATATTTCATTGGATAAATCTTCAAATTTTGTAATCGTATCCATTGAACAAACAATATGCTATTTAGCAAAGCTATTGAATGAACTAAGGCATTAACTGCTTATATGCAATTCTAGCCGACTGAATATACGACGGATATGATTGACTGTTTTTAGTATACGGTCATGCTCTTGTTTGTCATGCGAAGTTGATAAAACGACATTTTATTTAAAATAGGTATAGGAAAATTGTATGCAATCGTTGAACAAAGAGATTTCTAACGATTAAACACATACTGAACATGTAGATTCTTGATTTCATTTTTTTGTAGAAGGTAAAAAACTAAAAGAGTCTCGATAACATTGAATGATGATAGATTTATCATTCTTCAATTGCCAAACATAAGTTAGAATGGTTACAAATTTTTTATAACAAAATGCAGATGAAGAGATCTTTCTTGTGAAGATTTGCATTCTCTGTTGATATGTTCAATGATGTCAATGTATCGGAGATGGACAAGTCGCGACTTTGTCAAGTCACAAGTAACGCCAAGTCTTTCTCGATTTTATCAAGTCAAGCCATTTTATTATAAACAGTTTGCAATACAAAGTTAAGTCAAGTCACAAGTCAATGACTTGCAAAAAATTCAATTTTTTATTGCATTTCAACATTTGTAATATTTTTCGGGACATTTTAGCCCGATGTTGTTGAAAAAGAAAACTACGTTGGCTAATAACTCTTTCTACTGGAGAGGAAGTATCAGGCACTATTAATGTTTTTTAGCTAATTTGTATTTATCTGACTAATTGAGAAGAATAAATCTTTTATGAGAGGAAAGGAAAAATCTATATATATACGATTAAAGAATGACAGGAAATGTTCAAACATCATCAGAGGGGAGATTCTAATACGTATGTACCTACAACTTATAAAATAAATCGAACAAGTTTAAATTGAAATGATTTAAAGTAAAAAAACATCGCTTATGAGTCATTTTCCTGTTTACAATTAGCCTTTCTGATTACAAATGACAATATAGAGTATTCTCTTTCTTAACAAAGAGAAATCAAAGGATGTAATCAAACGATACTATAAAAATTATTAGTCCAAGCCTGACTTGACTTGGATTTTTTCATCAGTTACAAGTCGAGTCAAATCAAAAGAAATAACAATCCAAGTCCAGTCAATTAGAAATTTCCAATTCAAGTCAAAAATTAACTTGACCGGCCCATTTCTGCAATATACATTATTTTAGTTAAAATAACTGCGTATTTATTTTGCACATGCATGACTTTGATATAAAATAAAAATCATTCGTCATAAGATAATTACTTGGTTCTACATCCTTCCGAGAAAATAGACATACATGATATAAATCTCATTATGTATATACTGAAGGCGTTTTTTATTTTCTCGATGAAAATATTCTTTGACCTCAATTAACTTTTATCTAAGTTCTAAAAAATATTTTCTGGTCATAGATTTTACATTCATAAAATTTTATTAATTAAAAATCTTCAAGTCACTTATAATATTTAATTTACATAAAACGAAAATATATTTATTATGACAATGAAATTTAATTTGTAAATATTTTTCTATAAAAAAGATTCTGCTCTTGGTCTTCCATCTGACGAGTTTAACGTATTTTTCCTATGAGATGTTTCTCCTAATGAACAAAATGATATTGAACCACCACGTTCACGTTGTTTTCCTCGTTTAATTCGATCAGATTTGTGTGAATGTGTTGATGCAGCAGCAAGTATTAATGTTGGAGAATATTTTCGTCTATGATTAAATGCTATATAAATAAATGGATTAAGACTACTTTGAATTAATGAAATTGTTTGTAAAACTCCATCACACCATGATGGTATATGAAATTTACCATTGGAATAAATTTCAATTAATGTTAGAACCATATATGGTGTCCAACAAACAACAAATACAATAATAATTGTTATAGCTAATTTAACTGTTTTAATTTTTGTTGGAGATGTTAAAAATACAGATGATAAAGCAATGGTTTGATCTCGTGCATTATGTGTCCATAATTCTGTTGATTTATTAATTGTAAATATAATTCTTATATACCAAATTGTCATACAAATTACTGGTAAAACAAGAACATAACAAGCAAATATTGTAAAATAAGCACGACGTTGCCATTCAGCTGTATAACCTGTACTTGCACAACGATATTTTGTTGGACGTTTTGGAAACTGACTTTGTTCAAATATAAATAATTGTGGTATAGCAACAATAAATGAACACAACCAACATATCATTATAATACGACGAATACGACCAAATGATTTAAATACTCGTAATGGACAACAAATCGCTTCATATCTAAATAGAAGTTCGTTTATAAGAAATATCATAGAATACATTCACACATGTTTCTGTCAGATGAATATGTTACACTACTTACTTTCTAATCTCATATTTAGTCAATAGGATAACGACTTTCATAAAATAATTGATTTAATCGATAATCTAATTAGAAGATTCAGTTAGGTCATCATGACATTTAAATTATGATAGTAACTATATTTTTCATAGTTCAATTAGTCTTGTTTAATAAATTCTCTTTTTAAATCTTTAAGCGATGCCATTATTGAAAAGAGCTTTATTCTTTTTTTTGATAAAAATTTTTTGTACATGTTTCTTTAAATAACGCATTTACTATTTCTGATAGTAAGAAATGAAATTATAGTGATATATTTTCGTAACCTTATATTAAAAACAAAATTCATATAATTAGATTTTTCAACAGCTTTGAAGGACATACTCCTGTCTGTCCATGTTGATTAAATATTACATATAAAAAACAGGATGTTTAAGAGAAAAAAAAACTTAATATATTCTTATCTCATCGGCATAAATGCGACTATCACGCTACAATAAACATTAATTATTAGGTATAATACTTCCGTAATAAATGCTTCTTTCAACTAAATAAGTACTTTGCTACTTTCCTAGTTAGAGTTTTTTGCATCAGTTGGTGTTACTGAAAAGAGGATAATGTATTCTGTTAGTTAATATAACTTATGTTGTCATGAGTCATTAGAATCAATGAGCATGTAGAAATCTGTTATTATCTTTCTGTAAACAACAGATAATGAGAGCAAAGATTATCATGTTAAAACAATCATAGACTATTGATCAACGATAAATCGAATCAAAACGTTCTCTGTGAACTATAAAAATATTTTAATCATCTAAAAGGATTTTCTTCATATGGGATACAGTTTGAATACAAAGGGTTATATAAAAACAGTTCTACTCGAGTCAGTAATGCTGAAATAAATATTTCATTATGCTTTAACGAATAAATCAACAACGTAGAAAAAATTCAAGTCAACCGTAAATGAACAAACAACTTGATCTGTTTTTTCTTAACGACATATGAATTTATAAGAGTAAAATAAACTAATCGAGAAAATATGTTATAAATAATTCTACAACGCATTAATATATATAGGAGTATAATAATCTTCTCCGTACTATAATGATCTCGGATTTTTTACATTTAAGTGCAGAATTATATATCATAGCACAAAAAAAACATTCTTACCGATCATACGTCATAGCAACATTAATAAATGTTGTTGATGCAATTGTCACAACTTGAATGTATAGTGTTAATTTACAGGCAAGATTTCCTAATATCCATTCTTGATCATAAACAAGAAGAAATAATTCCGATGTCATTGTACAAAAACAAATAGTTAAATCTCCAATAGCTAAATTAAGTATAAATAAATGTAAACGAGTACGATGACGATGTCGAAGACATGATAATTCAAATATAATATAAAGATTTCCAATTAAAGTTATACATATAATCATACTTAAAATAAATATTCGAATAAACTTATCTGTTGTCCAATGATGATAAGACATAATTCACTATATTAAACTAAAAGAATAAAAACAAAAAAGTAGCTTTTATATTCATTAATATTTCTTTATCATGTATTATATCCCTAGTCTATTTAAAAAAACAATGAGTTGAATTTAAGAAAAAGAAAAGTAAGTTATATTATATATATTTTTTACAATGATACTATTAAAAGAATAATTAACAGTTGTTGTCATTTTGTCATCCTAAGAGTAGAATGAAAGAAGTACAGTAAATTAAATTTGGATAGAGTTATTTTCCATGTCAATAAACTTCTTTTATCACATATGATGGAGAGAGAAATATAATTTAGTTAAGTATAATTAAATTAATAACTTTTTTTTTTCATTTCTTGAATGTGTAATACGAACGTCTCGTAGAAAAAAAAGAAGTATATTATCAAGATTTTCTAATGAAAAAAGAAGTAATCACACTAAAATGATTTAAGAATATCACGAAAGACACCTTCTTTTTTCTCGATAGTTGGTAAATGTGGTATATCATCAATGTAAAATAGT